GTTGAAGAAGATGGTGAAGGGGACGAAGAAAGGGGGGCCTGAGAAGGAGGCTTAGTACCCCGATGGCTAGTCGGCAGTTGAAAGAAGGGGTGAGAACGCCTGGCTCTGAATCTTTTGGGGCCGACACAGGAAGAGAGGCTACATATAAACCACAGGAATCCCTCAGTCTGGAGTCTACATGTATGGGCCTACACATACGGGACCTCTCCCCATTTTTAAGACTGCTTACAAAATAGGTCCGGTTGTAAAATGGTCTTAAATTTAAGGGATCCATTCCGTGGCCACTTCTCCTGGTCACCCAAGGTATACGGGAACCAGGCTGTGTTGCAAAAGAAAATCAGCTTATTTCTTTACTGTCTCCAATTGTTAGGAATGCAACCCAGAGGAGAATCTCTGGGGATTCCCTGGGCATCTCCCATGTTTACATATAAATCTGGAAGCTAACAACTAGAGATCCTGGGGGCCGGATGGAGTTGAGGTCTAGTGTAACGACAAAGGGGATCACAGGATTCCCTCCCCAGAGTTAGTGACACAGACAAGGGGTCTCCAGGATGAAGGGGATGGGAGTGTAGGTAATGAGGACCAAGGGAGAGGACAAGAGAGGAGGGACAGAAAAGACTGAAAAAAAAGAGGAAGAGATTTGCCTTTTCAGCCCGCCCCCTGAGGGTGTCTATTCAGGCACCAGCCTGTGCACTTCCAGAAAGGGCCAGTGAAGGAGGGAGCACCCTGTCCACTGCCCACCGAGTGATCAAGCCCCGAAACCAGCCAGTTGTACGTCTGTGGGTCGCCAGCCCACAGGTGGGATTCTCACCCACGCATACACCAGTATATAGAAGTTTGCTGCTTCAGCCTGTTCCCAGTGAGACTTCTCTTGGCAGAGGAAAAGAAAGGTGAGAATATTGGGAGGATCGGACGTCCAGCCACTACATGATAGGAGGATTGAACCTCTGTCACTCTCGTGTATCTCCCATCAGGGAAGGCCCACTGGACCAAGGTCTGCTTGGTGTGAGGCGAGCCTCTCCCACCTCTGCTTGTGACCTGTCAAGGTGAGCTGCTGCCGGCCAGAGGGAGCAGGTCTCACAAGCTGAGAACAGTGATGCTGTAGCTGCCCGACGTCCACTCTCTCGGGAGGATAAGACAGAGAAGTAGGAGAGGAGATTTCAGGAGAGGGAAAGGGAAAGTGGTGAGGGAAAAAGGACAAAGGGGAGGGGGAAAGCGTCGCCTGAATGTGGGCACTGAGGCCCTCAGGGGCCAGGAAGGCAGACTTACCAAACAAACGCGGTGATGCTGAAACAAGAGGTTCAGGTGGCCGCCTGTCACCCACTGGGAAGCTGCATTCGGTGGTCGGTGGTCCCAGAGGTGCCCAGATCCCCACCCGGGAATGGGAGAATGTCCCGGCAGAGTCACAACAAAGTATGTTACTGACCAGGATTCTTGGCCTCCTTAATCAATAGAAATTGATAAGAGGCCAGAGAAATTCAGGCAAGGCTTTACTGGGTCTCAGTGCTGTAGCAGGAGGGAGTGAGAACAAGTAAGTTTCCCTTGCTAGCTCCCGGAGCTGGGGCAAGCTGGTTCCTTGTATGGCATGAAGGTAGGGGCGGGTCCAGGGGTCGGCTTAGGTGGTCTGCCCACCAGCTTGGTGATGCTGTGTGCAGGGCGCATGCGCAGTACCCTGCTTTTGCTCTGGGCATCTCAGAAGTGACAGTTGGGTTTTTGGTGTTTTGTATCTTGTCATTCATAATTTGCCCCAACTGAGCATGCACGAGGTTATTGTTAGTCCCAAATAGATTCTTTGTATTCTGTTGCTGGAGGAGGCGTTTGTCCAGGTGCAGGCACTGCAGCAAAGGCTCCCAGGTCCCAGGCTGTCTCAAGCTGATCTTGGCTGATTCTCTGTATTCACTTGTCTTTCCAGGTTTTAGAGGGGTGGTTTGCCCTGCAACCTCAATTTGGATGTAAGAATAGCCATTGATTTTGTTTGTTCAGCTTTTTTCAAGGATAGGAATGACGATTTCTAAGCTCTTTGTCACATCTGAAAACTGGAATCTATGTCTAAATTCATTTGAACCAATATGTATGGGATATTAGTTTGAAGGATTGCCAAATTATTAGGTTTTTTTGTGTTCCCACTTGTCTCAACTAACCTTGGATTGGGGTACCAGCAATTTAAACCTGCATCTCAGATTAAATGTAGCCACTGAAATGAAAACGATTCTCAAAAGGGCTATGAGAGAAAAAGCCAAAATAATAAATTTTGGAGACAAGTTTGTGTTAATGGACCACAATAATACCAGTGAAAGCAACTGCATAGTATAACAATAATCTAAGCATTTGAAAGAAAAGATTTAGAACATTATATCTATTATGAATGCCATGAATAAGCAGAACAAGAGGTTGATTCTATTCAAGACTTTTATCCCAGATTTTGAACAAGGCCCTCTAGCTCTCATGATCAAAAATCTCATTCAAAGCAGAGGCTCTGAACTAACGGCCCCAAAGCTGAACTAGCCTTTATTTGGTTTGTTTGTTTTGTTTTGTTTTGCGGTACGCAGGCCTCTCATTGCTGTGGCCTCTCCCGTTGCGGAGCACAGGCTCCGGACGTGCAGGCTCAGCGGCCATGGCTCACGGCCCCAGCCGCTCCGCGGCATGTGGGATCCTCCCGGACCGGGGCACGAACTCGTGTCCCCTGCATCGGCAGGAGGACTCCCAACCACTGCACCACCAGGGAAGCCCTGAACTAGGCTTTATGACATACATTGTTTTTGAACAAGGAATAATGATTTGGCAATTTCTCTAGAAAATGTGGGTGAAACACTGGCCGATGTCACCCACTGATAGCCCTCTGCAGAAGTAACACAGAAGTTCCCCCCTCCAATTTGCCACAGATGTCTCCAGATAATCTCGCCTGTGTCTATAGCTGAGGCTTCCAACCATCTGAGTTTGTCTTCTCAGGCAATTTAGCAAAAGTTGGGAGGAAAAAAAAAAAAAAAATTCTAGTAGATCTTTTATAGAGCCTGGAAGTCTAGAAATAGAAATTCAGCATGTTGTTTTTACATTTCAATAACATGTTGATTCCATTCACTTTTTCCATATGGATGATTTATGATAAACAATTAGTCAACAAAGAAGTACATGCGAAGGTATTTCCATCATTTTTTTGGATCTTTGTAACTTGGGGCTGTTGAGAACAACCACCTTTTCCAAATTATCTCCATGTCTTCTTTTCGTTCCATGTCAGCTCACTCCATTTTGCAAGAAGCCTAAATAGCTTCTGTTAAGTCCATTTTGTAGAATTCATATTCTGATTCAAGATGTGGTCATTACTAACACTATGTGGTTTGTTTTGGAAGTACTTAAAAAGAAAACAATTTAGTTAGAGATTTTCAACTTAAAGTTACATGACCTTGAAAATTTTCCTAGTCTCCATAGCCCATACCCACCAATATACTTTTTCCCAAGGATAACACCTAGTTAATAATTTACTTTTGTTTCCCATCTGCATCCCGTGTGGTTGTGCGCACACACACAAACACATGCACAAACATATATGTACGTACAAAATGCATACATATATATATACACACACAAAGCTAAATATGTTTGTATATACACACATACACACACATATATACATCTGTTTACTGCATTTTCCTTATTTGCACATGTGGATTCATATTATGCATACTTTTCATACTTTGATTTTATTCAGTGGCTGTATAATATTCATTTGTGGCCATTTCTGTTTCCAGTTGCTTCTCTTTTGTGTTTGCTTTCTGTTTTGTTACTAAAAATCATACCACTGACATACTTTGCTGATTAGATCATTTCCAACTTTTACAATTAATGATGGAAATCCCTAGTAGTAGCACTCTGCATCAAAGAGTACCAGTACTCTGCATCAGAGTACCTGTATTTAATATTTTGCAACACATTGCCAATGTGTACCCCCAACAAATTAGCATCAACTCTATTTTCCTTGAATCTTTGCCTTTACTAAGTACTCCTGAAATTTAACATTCTCTATTCTGATTTTCATCTCTACAATGAGTTCAGTTATATACTTTTTTGTATGTATTCTGCATATCTTTGTTTTTCTGTGAAGTTCTTGTTCATATATTACATGTGAATATCTGGATTTCAGAATCTTATTTGGTTATTAGCCTTCAAAAAATGTCATTTCTCTGCATAGTTTTCATTGGAGTTTCTAGAAAAGAAACTTGATAATCCTTGCTGCTTGTTCAAGTGCCAAGTGTCCAGGGAGTGTTAAACTTGACAACTGCTGCCTGATTGAGATGCCATGTGATATTTCTCTGGGAGCAAAGTTTTCTTCAATATGCCATAGCTATAGGGTTTTCTTTAGGCCCCTGCCTTGTGATATCTCACAGTCAAAGGTGAAACCAAGGGTTAATAACTATAAAGAGTAAACTGTTCTCACACTTCTCTTATTAGACATGGTAATTACCTGGTATCAGGCTGAAAGAGAAACAGTGGAGAGTAGTGGGCAGATACTCTAAATCAAAGCCTTCCATAAATCTGAGACTTGTGAAGTTCACTCAATTAGCATTTATTGAATCCCTATTGTTAGTAGTCCATCTACTAATTAGTTTTTTTGTAAAATGTGCATTGAATTAAAAATTCCTTGTATTATATAATATTGTACATCAACTCTACTCCAATAAAAAAAAAATGTGTGATGTTGGCTCTCAGGCATAGTGTGCCATGGGTAAAGACTGAAACGAAAAGATAGACTTAGGATTCTAATGTGAAGAACCCTGTTGAATGGACCTCATCTAATCACAGAGTTTTGGGGGAAAGAGGGGAGAGCATATTCAGTGTGTGAGAAATGGGATGAAAATGGTGTTTTTGTCATTCTCCTGATCAGATGCCCAGTGGAAAAGTTACTGGTGAGTTCCAGTAACTTTTTGATACCCAGCTGTAGTGTCAGAGGCCCTGCTCTCACAACTTCTCCTCCAGCTCAACTCTGTGCATGTGATTTCCCACAGTATTCAAAGGCGGAAAGGCATCCCGTGACTGCATTGGAGAAAATGATGGAGTCAAGTTTTGCCGGCCCCCAGTCATTCCCAGAGGTCCCTTCTCCCAACAGAGGAAGCCAGTCTGTCAAACACCACAGGTACAGGTAGCTAATCGTGGTGGGAGTGGGTGCGTTGACACAATGTATAACACTGGACGACACATGCCGAGGAATGACAACATTATTCAGGAGAGATGATCGTTCTTGCTTCTCCTGTAGTTCCCCATGCAGTGGACGCTCAAGCAGCTCCTAGCAGGCAAAGCAAAGATACCAGCAGGCAGCAGTGCCCCTAGAGGAAGCCTAAAGGAACTATTAACAGCACCCATCAAGTCTGCAGACACAGACCAGTGAATGAAACGATTGCGATCTGAAAAACTGTTAAAAACATGATTTTTCCTAGCCTGCCTTATCACTGTCTGCAAATTTAATGACTAATTCTTGCCTAGGCAGCTGATAGGACATATGCTCCAGGTCTTCCAACGTGGTTCTCACACAAAGAAAACTTTCCAGGGGGAAGAAGCCTGGCAAATCTTCTCCTTTGGTTTATTAGATCTTCCATTATCAATGGAGTGGGACTGGGACTTTTTTTTTTAACAAGCTGACTGTAAAAATTGGCTCTTTGGGGGAGAAAGCCAAAAATAAAGTTATCTTATAGAAGTTTTACAGCATTCTGAGGCTGAGCAAATTCTTCAGCATCTTTTAGTCACATGCTGTGTTTATACATAAGGAATCTGGAACTTCACAAATGGAAAGTTTCGTTCTCAAGTGCCAACATTTGATACCTGCTACAACAGACACTATGTTTATGTGCATCCAAAAGTATTGACATGTCGTCAGTCTTTGTGGAAGCTGTCCAAAGATTTAAGCTTCCTTTTCTTAGTAAGAGGTACAGTATTTTAAAAATTCTTAATTATGGAGATTAAAAGTTTTTTTTAATGGAAAAGGTAAAAAATAACAATTGTTCCCAGCAATGGAAGATAAATGTTGTTCACCCTTGGTTTTTTTTTTTTTGTTTTTCTTTTTTTTGTTTGTTTTTGCGGCACGCGGGCCTCTCACTGTTGTGGCCTCTCCCATTGCGGAGCACAGGCTCCAGACGCGCAGGCTCAGCGGCCATGGCTCACGGGCCCAGCCGCTCCGCGGCATGTGGGATCCTCCCGGACCGGGGCACGAACCCGTGTCCCCTGCATCGGCAGGCGGACTCTCAACCACTGCGCCACCAGGGAAGCCCACCCTTGGTTTTCATATATGTAGGCAATATTTTGAAAACCACCGTGAGAGAAGTATGCATTATTCAAGGAAACTAACTTCTCCCTCACCTTTCAGGGAGTCCCTAAAAAAGATTTTCTTGATGCTGGCCACATTTACTATGAGGCTTTCATGTCACTCTTGATACTAATCATTAGTACTTGATGGTGATTTTTATTCTTAATCTACATGGGTAGAGACTGAGGTACCAAGGGTTTGCTAAGTTAAAAAAAGGTTTCAACACAGGATGAAATATGTTTGGCTACTGGATAATTGCTTTAGTTATTAACTACAATTTTTGGTTTATATCAATTGGGGCATTTACAAATATTTCCGTGCGAAAAGATTACTTCAGTTAACTGGACCTAGTGGACATTCTTCAATTACGGAATTAAGTATAAAATTATTGGCCTTTTAGAAGATGTGTTTTTTTCCAAAAGAGCATTTTCCTCTGCTGATTGTAATACACGTTAAAGTGGTATTCCATTCAGTCAAGTAAAATAATTAAGTACTATATTGTCGTACATGTTTTCAAGTTGATATGATAAGCAATTATAGCTTCTAATGTATTTGACCTGCAAATACCCCACCCCTACTTTTGTCTGTTGATATACCTCCTCCTAAAGTCTGTTGATATACCTCCTCCTAAACTTGGTTTCTACTATGGTTTCTAGGAATCACTCACAGATCAAATAAGGAAGTCACTAAGAGACCTTCTTTTTTATTTGGTTCAATGACATTGCAGTATTTGTTGGCATACATTGCATCCTGATAGATAGGCAAGGGTTGATTTATAAAGTGCTTTGAGAACTTTGTAAATTATAGTTCAATATATCATAGCTTTTGTTTTGTAAAACATGCAGTAGACTTAAACGTTTTCACGATTGATAACCTAGTCACTGATTTATACATCCTGCAAACTGCTGTGTAACTTCCTGAATGCCATTGGGTTAGAAAGTTTGAACAGTTGATTGATCAATAGGTATAGAACTTTTTTAAGATGGGTTACTAGCTCATACTGGTAGACTTTTATGAATAATTCATTTTTGTGCACTGCAAATATGACTCATTTGGATAACTCATTTATGAAACAAAGCTGTTAATTCGAAGCCATAATTTCTCATATTTAGTCAAAAAAAAACCCTCTTTCTTTTTAAAGAAGAAATCTATTATGTCATGTTATACTTATTACATTATATTTTGGCAATATAACTCATTTATAGACAGTACGTGTAGGTTTTTTAAGGTGAAATAAGTCCAGGGTTTTCAGTGATTAGTATGAGGCTTTGAGTTGTCAGTTTGGGCAGAGGAATCAAGGGAATTTACTTTGTTGAGCAGCTACTAAGTGCCAGACTCCCTGCTAAGCACTTTACATACTTTTTAAACCCCCATAGCAATACTATGAAAATACCTAAACAAGTGCTAATACCTTTATTTGCATCTCTTCCACCCACCTCTAGGCTTTACCTTTTTCTGCCTTGCCTTGTACACTAAGAGGGCAGCAGGCTCACTTGCCTTTGGGCTTCTGTTGGTTTCTTGCGATGCACAGGCAAGCTATGGAAGGGCAGAGGCCAGTGAGGTCCTAACACTTCTGCCCCCTCCCTCCCTGCCTGGTTGTCGCAGCTACAGCCCTGTTTCTGACACTAGCCAAGAGGTCCTCTTCTCACAAGCCCTTTCTCTCTTCAGTCAGGTAACTGCTCCTTCCCCCTGTCCTTTCAGTTACAGGGATGGTAACAGCTTCCCATTGTTACCAGCCCTTATGTACAGTAGTATCCTGTATTTTTTTTTTTTTTTCCTCAAACAGTGAACACACTTTTGTAAATAGCAGAATCTTCCCAAATGACCCAATATAGAGTGCCATCTATTTCCCCCCAGGACTCTGACTGATACAAGTACTTTCCCCAGTATCATACAGACCTGATGCAGCTAATTCTAGCATCCAAGGCTGACTACCCTGTGGACTCCACAATTGCCACTGGATGGTATAGATAGAAGCTGGAAGCTGGTGTAGATGGAAGCTGGAAGCAGCTACTCTAGCATCCAAGCCTGAGTACCCTGTGGACTCCACTGGATGGTACAGATAGAAGCTGGAAGGGAGGGAAACAAATTAGTTATTATAGAGCTCCTTAAACTCGTTGGCTTAGTGACCTAACTAGAGGTCCCTTGTTGTTAGGCATGTTAGGACTCAATACACTCAACCCAGAAATATTATGATGAAGAATGAAGTTGTAATAACGTTGCCAGGTATGATCTGGTGTTTGCACAAACTCAGGAAGTCAAAGTTGGGCTTGACGAATATGAAGTTATAAAGCGTGATCATTTCGCCTTGCCCAAACCAGGAAGGTGGCTACTAGCACTCATTTGTCGGGTTCTCAAATTCTGACCTTAAATAATATTTGAGAAGTTTTGTATTTATTAAGTGGAAATAACAGTAATGTCGGTGGGAGGAAACTTACAGAACTCCAAATAATGTAGTAATATGGGTAAAATTCAGCTGGGGGTCTGGTTCCTATAGAACTTTGTTGAAATTTTGAAAATGTTTTTGCTGTTTCTGTGTGTGGTTTTATTGCTATTTTCAGAGCCAAATGAGTAGGAACGCAAAAATTCTAAGTTCCCTTATTGGCATCTCATGGAATGTCTGCACGGGAACAAAGTTCTCACAGTTCACATGGTAGTAGGGTAAATTCAGTGGGGTGGAGGGAGGAATGGATATGGAATAAGTAATGCGTCAAATTAGCAACTGATTTCTCTAAAGAGTCTAGTTCTTTGTCTGACGTGATCTGTGTAGGGATCTTACCTGAGGTATATCCCGTTTATGCCTTGCCCTTTGATGGCATCTGGCATGGTTATTTGGGTATTTGGATGTATGGGTCAAGCGAAGTGTACGATCAGATGTTTATTAAAAGCAAACTCAAAGGGTTATTATGGGATTATGTAAAATCACGTGTGTGAAACTTATGAAAATTGTAAAGCACTATAGAATTTAAAGAATCTTTCATTCAATTAAAAAAAGTTAAAGCAAACTCAAAAGAAAAATAATTTAGGTTCTCACGAAATTTACGAATTTTTGAGATTCGTAAATTTATGAATTTAATTTACGAAAATTTGAGACAGCGAACTGCAAAAGTAACATATATATTAAGGAGAGAAAGGCAATTAAAATAAGGTTAGTTTATTCTACCACTAACACAAGTGAAATTTTCCCCATAAAGCCCTTAAGGCTTCTTGGGTTTAGTTCTTGGCAGTGTTTAATAACAAGGCCATTTTTATTTCTATTAAAGGCACTTTTGTAGCTTGGATAATGAGGGAGGAGGGGAATCAGGAGCTGGAGAATTCCTCAAGCGCACCTCATTGGCTGGAAAGCTCGTGTTATTTTAGTCCATTGTGCTCCAGACTGGAAAGCCAGAAACACAGGAACTGGAACTGCTTTTCTTCTCAGTCTCTCCAAAGATAAAATGGATTCAGCAACTTTCGATCCCTCCTAACAGATATCCTACAGGCATGGATGGAGCCTGACCTAGAACTTTGAGGATCTAGGGTGGAAATGCAGTGCTTGAAAAGTTTCAGCAGCCACCTGTGAGGTTATTGCTGTGATCAATTTGTTTGTTGGTTTTCTTTCCACCAGCAGGACTCTCTCCTCTTGCTGCAGCCCAGGGCAAAGGAGTGGTATGCTCCATAGGAATGCCTTCAGAAGGACACCCCCCTCACCCCGAAGTAGGTTGGGCGGAATCGTGGGACCAGCATATCAGCAACTCGAGGAATCAAGGGTCCCAGACCAGGATACGATACCTTGCCAAGGGTAGGTCTTAAAAGCAATGCAATTTAGGGAGGGTGTTATGAATGATATAATTTTAAATTGAGTTATTATGTTCCTTGGGGTTTTATTCACTGATTTCATCATTATTTGGCTATTTATGCTTGCTTCCACCTTTGTTCCCCAAAAGAATAACTTTAAAAAACAGATACAATGGAAATAGATATTAGGGAAATGGTAGATGGAAAAGATATATAGCATTAAGTGTATAGACATCTAGACACTATGTTATTATTGCAGTTGCTAAAATAACTGGGAATGTGTCTTTGATTTTAAAACACAGAGATTTCTTAGGACGACTAAAGTGTTCCTTCATCCTTAGGTTTGGGAAAAAACAGTGCTTAATTCTCTAATCACTATTGTGGACAATACCGTAACAATAACCTGTAACGTATATATAGCATCTGCTCCTTCGAGTATTCTTGAACAAGTCTCAGTGTTGACAGAGGATTGTCAAGGCACAGCTAGCTGAACTCAGATCTCTAGTTTCATTCACGGTGCAGGGATGGAAAAATTGGCTTTGGACTCCGTGGCTGTTGCTCATCCTTGCAGTGTAAAAAGTGTCCCTTCCTCTCAGTGGACACAGACCCTCATAGGGCTCATAGCATGGGTGAGTGGAGTGTAGAATGAATTTTAGCCACCACTCACCGACATAAGCTGTTCAACCAAGTATGGCAGCCCTTATCGAAACTGACTGAATTTCAAATCTCATCTTTGCCCCTTACTACTTGTATGAATTTGAGAAAGTTTTATCATCTGAGCTTACATTTTCTCGTCTATAAATTGAACAAAATAATACCAGCTTTCCTGAGGGTTGTTGGGCAGATTAAAAAGAAATTACATGTGTCAAGAGCTTGTACCTGACACATGGTAAACAGAGAAGGGGTACTTGTAGCTATTGTCACAAGAACCATTATTCTTATTAATTTCAAGAGCAGTGCAATCGGGCTTTACTCCAGAAATGCCAAGAATCCATTTCCTCACTCGAGCCAGGATCTCGTTGCATCTAGTTTTTCTCTCTCTGAATCAGCCAGGCTAGGTTTCTTTGCTGCTTTGGTCTGGGTGATTTTTCCACCCTGTCTGTAGCAAGTTAAAAGCCAAAGCAGGTTTGAGGTCTGTCCCAGACTCTTACCTTTGTCTTTTCTTCTGGGTGATATGTATGCAACAATGCCATGTCTGACGAATCTCAGCAACAGATTTCTGTAGGAAGACTAGAAGATAGGAAATAAATAGCCTGTGTCTGGATTTTGTAATTTTTGAAGCAATTCCAAATAGACTAAAATATATTTGGTAAGATCTGAGGTGAGATTTACACATTCAACATAACAGCTAAGTTGTCCAAAATGTATAATGCAAGTCAAGACGTAGCCTGCATTTCTCTTTGCCTTATATCTGGAAAAGGGGCTTGCATTTAGCCTATAATTAATCATGTTTCATAATTACTTTGCTTCTGAAATCACTAATAATGTCTGTTACTTAGGTTTCTTTTTTTTTTCTTTTCCCCTGGGGTGAACGTTGGAGTGAGGTGAAATCAAGTTAGAGATTTTGTGAGTGGAGAGAGAACCCAGCCCGTGCTGTCTTTCTTCTGTTGGGCACTGTTATGGCTATTGTTTGTTTTGTTTTGGATCAATCATCATTGGGTTTGGAATATTCTCTCCAATTGGCTAGCCACCTGTATTTTCCTATGTGATATGCACCTGATGTTGATAAAACGGTGACTCTAAGTCACTGTGTACTCAGCACAGTGAGTCTCAGGGAGCAATCTCATTCTTAATTCTTGACAACAGCTATTTCCCACTCCCGGGGGACTGACCGTCTCTCTGGACTGGAAATGGGATTGGTAATAGAATTTCACAGCTAAAGGCCCTCTTCAAATCTGGCCCTAGCCTGGATGGGGAGTGAATGAATTTATAAGAGCCAACTGCTGCTTGTTTATCAAGCATGTGGGTGCTGTCTGCTACTTAGATTCCCGGTGTATATGATGGCTCTCCTTGACACTAACTTCAACCCAGCTTGAACCCAGTGCCTGACTTAGTGAAGCTTGAGGAGGGAGTCAGGTAGACAGGAACTTCAAGAGCCTTTCCCCTGATCAGTGGATTGATGACAGCCATGGCAGTGGCTCACAGAACTGTGAACTGGGTTATGTCAGGCAAATCAAACTAATGGAATCATGTACTAGACAGAAAGAGATGGAATCACAAAAGTTAGATTGCTACCTTCAAAGTAGAAGGGATGGAAACATACTGATTATCCACCTCACTTAAATAGCAACTTTACGAACTTACATTCAGTTATTCTTCAGGAAGTGTACAGATGAACACACTAAAGATAGCAGAATTTGTCCCAAGGTGGGGTAGCCCGCGTAAAAGAAATGGATTGAATACCGGCCTTTCTGACTAAATAAACCACTAACCCAGGAAAGGAATGTGAAGAAAAATCAGTCATGGATGGTGATGTGTAAATGGAATCTCTAATTGTATGGCTCCAGAGGGAGAAGTGGATTCCTTCAATTTAGTCAGTTCATTCTAATTCCATATGCACCAAGAACTGGGTCTTGGAGTCCTCTGGGGAAACACTGATTTCTTGGCCTGACCCCTGAATTACTGGGAATCAAACCAAATGACTAACTGTTGAAATCTTCCCTCTTTAAAAGGATGCTTTGACTCACATAGTTACAGAGGAAATGTACTTGTGATTACTTTGTTGAGGGATTGGAGGAAAGGCAGTCCAACCGGTCCAAACTGGTGTTTTACAGTCAGTGAATGACTGACAGGCTCATGGATCAAACGTGTGACAGAGTCGTTGACTCTGAAGGGATACAGAACTCGGAGTATCTTCTAATCAAGAATCATACCTAGAAATGTAACTCTCAAACTTCTGGAGAGTAGTATCACCTCCTAATTGAAGACCAGTGCTAGGACACTCAGAGCAACTCTAGGAAGGAAGGGAATAGTGAAGAGGCATTACTTCAGTGAGTCCTCAGAGCAGTCCCTCTAGATCAGTATTGCTACCTGATGGTTTTAATTAATGAGAGAATTAAGGTAAGGCTGCTGGGTTTGCCTAAGATTCCAGAGCATGTAATGGTGGTGAGACTTGAAATCCTCTCTGATCCCAAACACGACTAATTGTTTAAAGTGCATCCTCATGTTAGGGCAGCCTTTTAGATTTCAGTTGTTGCCAGCATGTGATCCATACCTGGCTTGTGAGATGATGCGTAAGTCAACTCCTTCAGTCAGCACGCAGGCATATTAGAAGGCTGCTCCAAGTTTGGCTTGAATTGCCTTTGATTACTTCGTAGTCACGTGTTTTGCCGAAAGACTTACTTTCAGTTTCAAGTTCCAAGGATTTGTTGGCAAAGTAACCACTCAACACTTAATTAAGTAAGAAAGAAGAAAGCTTGTTACATTAGTTATAGCACAGAGATAAGCAAAATAGTAAGAAATAAATGTATTTACAATCACCAAATTGGGGAAGCACCCCCATCCAGATGCAAGCAATGCTGTGACGTCCCTTGAACAGCAATTTGGAGACCCAGTTGGAAGGTCCCGGGCGTTGTGCCCTTTCCATGGATGAGTTCAGAGTGCAGCCCGAAGGAGTCCTGCTTTTAATGCCAAGCTGCAAGCTGATAATCATCAGCTTATGTGCAAATATGCAGCTCTGGCTATTATCATAGATGCTCTGATCTCTAGTCATAAGTCTCAGGATGTTCACTGATCCCTGGGATTTGGCCAGATTCCCAAGGCCCAGGAAGCTTCGTGACTTACTCCCTTCCTTACCTGTTGGTTCCCAAGACTCGTTAGCACCGTTTCTGCTGACCTGCATGTAGTCCAGCAGTTCGGTATGTAGCTCCTTTCAGGGTCTTTGTTTAGTCAGAGGCCTATTGTTGCCTCTGAAGCCTGAACAAGACTATTAATTTTTTCAACATCGTGTCACATTGTGGACTTGCTGAAGCGTCAACAATTGACTGAATCCTCTAAGATACTTACACCTTTATGCATCATTTTTACAAATAATGTTTAGATCCGGGTATTAAGAATTGGCACTATCACCATCACATTTCAACCTGGTAGATTCTACTCACTGATACACTCTGATGATGATCCATGTGAAAGACGATCTTATCCTCCTTAAATTTCTGTGCCATTGGTGAATCTGATAGCAGACATTCTGTATCTTCATACACGTTAATGGTGCTAAGGAAAGAACACAAAAGCCTGCAATTTGCCCCCTTTCTTCTTGTTGAAATTGATTCATTGATCAGAAACTTTAGGTTCAGATTTTCAGTCATAGAACACTAGGGAGAAAGTCGTTGAGGACCCCCAGGGAATTTCTTTGTATGTGGCTTTATAATTTGCGCAGGTAAAGATTTTATCTCAAAAAGGTTTGAGATGCCCACTCATTTCTGGCTTTGATAGTAACAATTAACATAAGACAACGTGGGTATAACTTCTTTCTCTGCTGCTTACCAAGGGTGTAATTTGGGGCAAGCCCTTTGGGTATTCCTTAGTCCAGTTTATTTAATCCATTACGTGGTAATAAATAAACCACACAGTTTTGTTTTGTTTTTTTAAATCAATGGAGGTAATTAGAGGTGAAAGTGCTTTTTGAAAGCTCTGTGTGAATGTTTGTTAGCTCTTGTTGACTGGGATATTAAGGGAGTGTTTACCTTGAAGATCTGTTCATGTATTCCTGAGTCCATTCCATCAAAATTTATTGATTGCCAACTCCGTACTAGGCTCAGTAAGAGAGGGTAGAACACAATAACACCTAAATTTGTTCCCCATCTTTTCACACTGTCTGGCAGAAAGACAGATCTCTAAATTGCTCCCATCTTGTCTTTACAGTAAAGGTTTCTAATATTTTAGTATGCGACACACTTCATTGCAATTATTCTTTCCATGTATAAACATGATTTTTATTTACATTATAATGTAAGACAAGGGGAATGAGATTTATTATATTGATGATGAACGTGTTTAGATTATGCTTAAATTTTAATGTTTAAGGTTAAAACTGAGGGAAAATAATTGAGAAATAGAATAAATACTACTGTTCGAGTCCCCAAACTACATTTCCGTGAACCTACGATATCCCTGCCTCACTTTCTGGCACTGGAAAGTTCAGAGGCAATGGAAAATTCACTAGCTCTGAACAAGCAAGAGGGGGGGGGGGGGCCAGCCAGATTCTGGCATATTTAAACCACTTGGAACAGCACGATGGCATTCTCAACAAGCCATTTTACCATGCACCCATGAACTACCTTACTTGGCTCCAGAAACCATGTGAGGAACGTTACTAGCTTGGTCGAGGCCCTGTGGAACTCACTTCGTGTTCATCTTGGGCAGACAGAGGAACTGTGTGCCTCTCATCCCATCTTTTAGGCTCAGCAAACTGGCAGTGAGGCAGTTCCTAAAGAGCAGAGTGCCAGTGGAAATTGGATTTGGTCCCCCTAAAGTCAGTGTGAAGCAGAGAAACTCAGGACTTTAGTACCTTGATGCTTAATATTGGGCTTCCTGATTGCCTCCACCTAGGGTGGCCACAAGGAGTCTGCACTGGACTAAACCAGGGCTGAGAGGGTGGTCAGGTTGATGGAGTGGAGTAATGCCGTTATGGGTTTCCTGTTTGTCACTATGGAAGGGCCACACTTACCTGCTCAATCCCCATTTACTTTGTATTCTAGGATAGAGGTCAGGAAGACTATATCCCACCTGCCTATACAGCTGTGGTGTGTTGAAAGATCCCTGGACTTAAAGTAAGAAGATCTGGGTTTGAGTCTCAGTCTGTCACTTATTTTCTGTGTGACCTTGGGCAAGTCACTTCACCTATCTGAGCTTCAGTTAACTTCTCTGTTTAACTGGGAACATAGTATCCGTCTCATGGGGTTGCTGTGAGAATTCAGTGAGATGGTGCATGTGGAAAGTGCTTTGCTGACTGAATAGTGCTCTCAAGAAGCTGGGAAGAGCGCAGAATATGTAACATTTTGTCTCTTCTTCAGGTATTCATCCAGTGGTTTAACAACCCAACAAAATGCATCAATAAATATGCAACTGCCTTCGAGAGAGACAAACTCCTATTTTAATAGCTTGGATCAAACGGACCTGATGGGATATTCATCCCCAAGGGCCAGTTCTGTGCCCATCATCCCCTCAGTGGGTCTAGAGGAAACCTGCATGCAAATGCCAGGGATTTCTGAAGTCAAAAGCATCAAATGGTGCAAAAACTCCTACTCTGCTGATATTGTCAATGTGAGTATTCCAGTCAGCGATTGTCTTATAGCAGAACAGCAAGAAGTGAAAATATTGCTAGAAACTGTTCAGGAGCAGATCCGAATTCTGACTGGTGCCAGGCGGTCAGAAGACTACGAACTGGCCAGCGTAGAAACCGAGGACAGTGCGAGTGAAAACACAGCCTTTCTCCCCCTGAGTTCCACAGCCAAATCAGAACGAGAGGCCCAATTTGTCTTAAGAAATGAAATACAAAGAGACCCTGCATTGACCAAGTGACCTGAGATGTAAGAATCTGTGCATTCTATGCTTTGCTCAACAGGAAAGAGAGGAGATAAAATACAAATTATTTATATGCATTAATTTAAGAGCATCTACTTAGAAGAAACCAAATAGTCTATCACCCTCATAGTGTTTTTTAACAAAATATTTTTTTAAAGGGAAAGAAACGTTTCAGGAGGGATAAAGCTTACCACTAAAGCTTTTGGGTAGAATTTTGAATACAATTTCATTTAGTCCCAATGCTGTCCTCTTTGGCTCTTAGTAGATGTGGGCGATTCAGACTCTCAGCCCCACAGTGCCAGTGACCTCATAGAAAAGTGCTGGCAGTTACCCAGTTTCAAAGAGAAGAGACGTATCCCAAGGGTGGGCATGCCAGTGAGCAGGTGGCCCTTGCCATTTGGCTTGCCAATCCCTCAATTTCTATTCACTCGACAGCCTCATCACAGGTTATGTCACGTCAACAAATGTAGTGTTTTCTATTTACTTTTTGAAGAATGGCACAAAGACTCTGGAAGGAAAGGGACAGGAGACAGAGGGAGTCATGGGGCAATCTTAGCCACTCTTACGTGCCAGCCTGCTCTGAAATTTGAAGGCACAGAATCTCAGAGGGAGGTAAGAAATTATTACAGAAAAAGAGACAAAAACATCACACTGTCGTGTCACTAAAATCATGCTAATAGCTAATAGAAACGTTTTTGTTTGAGATCGTTTAGGGGCTCCAAAGGAGCACTTCTCAGTGTGTGTGCCTGTGTGTCTGGGCTTGCTCACTCGAGCACCGGTATGCTGTATGCACATATGTTCATTGTGCGTATGTGTGTGCATGTGTGTGCGTTAAGCTTGCTAAAATTTGTTCTGAAACATCAGGGAATCTAATATTCAGAAAAAATTTCCCTCTTAGATCTGTTCGCTTTAAATTTTTCCATTAAGTATAAAGTTCAGTTAGTAAATCAAGGTCACGTGCATGGTGGGGTCCTATAAAACTCTTGACAATGTCTAGACTATTTTCTGATGTGAATATTTTTGAGAGGAACAGCTATTGGCTCATTAATGATCTCAGTATCACAAGGCGAGTTGGGGATGTGTATTTTGAATCATGCGTACTTAAATTATTTATACAAGCCAATGATCAAATTGATAGTTAGTTACCCTTTGTTTTCTCATTTTCCTCATTACTTTTTGTAGCAAGTCTACTACTCGTGGACCAAGACATTGGCTTCTGTGGTTAATATGGAAAGAATAAATTGTTGAAATTACAAAGCCCAGCCTATTCAGTTCAAAGGAAGCCCCCCAAAGAACAGTAAATTGTGTTGTATGTTCATTTGGAATAAAGCAATATTTTTACCACTGCTAAGGTGAACTGAAACTTCTGAAGATTTGTCTGTTTTATTTAGCCTTATTTTCACGGGGCATTCAAGGACATTAGTGTTCACATAACCAGTCTTTTTCCAATTATTGGTGGTGTTGAGTTGTTATGTTTACACTGTTTTAAATAAAAAGGCATAGTATTTGAAAGTATATAAAAGATTTCTTTTACTGAAGTTTGGGAAAACCTTGATTAAAACTTCCTGTGGAAGACTCACATTCCGCTGAAAAGGAATGTAACTATTTCTGAATCACATATTGAATATACACAATTCTTATTTAAGGTTAAGCTGTTTCTGTTTAAAATACATTGCAAATTGCTCTCTGAGAACATTCTTTCTTTGATAATAGACATAAATAGACATATGCCATACAGGGAAAATAAAGAACATTGTGTTCTTATCAACACTGTTTAGTGGAAATTCAAAAGTCTCAAATGTTGAAAACATTTTGGTAGAAATGCATTTTATATTTAACAAAAGCTTCATGGTGTTCCTTAGTTGTCCCACTATTGTTCCTTTGTTTTGAATATAGAGGTAATACTAGACGACTCTTAAAAAGGATTATTACAACTTTTTAATGTCTCAATTATCTAAATTCTCATTTAGAAATAGTATATCTTTGGGAAAATTTTAGAAAAATGGTTTTAATTAACTGGTGTATAAAACCCCCATAACTTGCATATTCGATATGCTATTGTGTTGAAATTTATCACAATTATCAAACATTCACTGGAAGTCCTCCCAAGTCAACCTTGTCTTGGGTTTTTCACTAAAATGCTACCTGTTGCATACCTAAACGGATTCATACAGGATCCACCTAATTAGGAGTTTGTGTATTTTGTGACTCACTGCAGTTATTTCTTTTTTAACATCTTTCACTGCAGTTATATTAATATATCTTTTGCTCTAAGGAGATCGAAGGTTGTCAATCAAACTTAAGTCCTGATCTGACCCCTTATTATTTTTTTTAAGTTGAACTATATATTATGTGATTATAAACAGCCTCGTGCGTTCTAAAACGTATGAAAGTTACACACATCCACTGGCGGCCCGATATAAAGTTTAGAGATAAAGTTATGTCCAAATTGATAGTAGAGACAAAAATCCTCCGTAAAGAACAATTATTAATGGTCACTTTCAGTGGTCATTTGTCTCCTTTTGGAATATGAAGCTCTCCTGTGAAAAGGGTCCACACTCAGAAAGCACCTCTTTGGGCACCAGCAGACAAGTGCTGATAGCATCAAGACTTTCAAAGTTGATCTAACGTGGCCAACACCTGGAGACATCGATACCTTGTCCTTCAAGCTCACATGCCTACAGAGAAGTGTTTATTTCTACAAGACACTTGATTTTGCTTCATTTTCCCTGTATTTCTTATGTGAATAGGTATTTGGAGATTTGGTAATTAAGTTAGTTGCATATTCATTATTTACTGGAGAATGAATGTCACTCATTATTTTTCACTCTGCATCATCTTCTCATGTCTTTTTTATAAAATGTGTGTTATTCTGATTTGCTAGTGACTTCTATAGAATGCTGTTGTTCAAAATATATGAACAATTTTATGCTAATGAGAAATAGTGGAAATTATGTTGGAGAACTGGCATCTAAATTCTCTGATTTTTGTATGCACATTAAGTGCTCTATGTTTTACACTCTTGTCTAATATCTACCTTGCTATGGGTGAAGGACTAAATATTTGTAGCTAGATCAAATCTCCAATGATTTACATCATTTCCAAGCAGCAATAACAAGGTCCTCTGGAGGAGGAACAGTGCTATTTTCAGGACTCCACAATTACCCTGTTTTGATCATAACAACATATCAGGCCTACCAAAAAGAGAACAGAAGGGCCAAACAGATTTCCAGAGAATGATCACTGGCTTCTGAATTGACTGACAGCTACAATTTGAGTGGGGCTTTTGGCGACTATAGCTAAAGCTCTCAATAACCAGGTCTCCACCAGAATATGCTTGACGTATGCAGCAGTCACTCACACTTACCTTGCAGTATGGTGCTATAGGAAACCATGACTCCCTGAGTGAGGGGGGATGGTGACTCCTTTGATTCCAGCCCTGTAAACCAGAAAATATTGCCCTTAGACAAGTGCTATGAAACGTTTCCCAAATGAGTATATAGTATACCTAGGAACACAGCAGGAGGGGTGGGGTTTTTATTTGAGATTTTGGTATCCAGGAAACATTTTATATATAAAGAATACTTTTTAAATTATTATTCAATTGTATAGATTCAGTACAGTGTATTCAATGATAGCATGTCTGTACTCTGTTTGTACTTTAGTCTACAGAAATTCAGTCTTCATCCAAGAAAGACCAGCACAATGTTTCTGGGCTGTTCTCAATTTTAAATGCATCCCAATATGTCATGGGAAATGAGGCCTTTAAATAAGCTTTATCTCTTCCTCTTTTATTCTTTCTTTCCCTTTTAAAGAAATAGTGAGGGTAAAGGAAGAAATTCATTCCTTAAGATCAACATCGTTCTCTCATAATAATCTGTTTCCTACTGTGACTACACACACACATACATACATATATAAGTATATATGTATGTATAAAATATATATTACATTTAGTTTGATTATTTTGGCGGCTTTATTTTTGCTTCATTTGACAAATATTAAAGTGATTGCCTCATGGAATGCCAACGAAATAATATCATTTAGAAATCAGCCAACTTGGCAATGTTTAGGTAATACAGGCATTTTCTAGTTTTTTCTCTTTCTAAGGTAAGCAGAAATATCCTTGGGTTGGAAAATTCAAAAGACCCTGGAGTAGAATGTCTGCTAGATTCTCTCTTAGAAATGAAGATTAAACTATGGATATATATGATGACTGTCCCTATAGTGTAAAATTTCAAATATATTTTTTTACAAATTTAACCATTAGATCTCTCAAAGGGGCCTAAACAGGTGTCTTTGACTTCTAGTGCCCACTGAACTCTAATAAGGAGTTGTGGTGGGGGCAGAATGGTGGTGGGGAAACCACGTTAATGTTGGATACCCAGTGAAGATGTGAAGATACTAGCAGAGATGACCAGACTTAAAAGTACTAGGCCTCTAGTACTTTGATAACTTTTTGTCATAAAAACCTGTATTGATTGCATGTGTATTGTTGCCTATGAAAGAATTAATGATGCGATAGCAAATAATTCTTATTGTTGGAAATGAATTAGAAAATCTTTATATTGGAAGTTGTCTTTGTGAAAGCTTCTGATTTATGTATGCATAATAGTAGCTCCATGACCCCATCTGTCAAATAAGGAGGATGATCTAGTTCATCTCTGATTTCCCTTTCAAATTGGATGGAATGTTACCCAATCATTCCAACTCAGACTTTACCTCATTATTTGTCATCCAGTAACATAACCCTTTGGAAAGAAAATGGCTAATGGTAAGACTTCAAAATTATTGGAATCTGTATATCAACCTGTGAATGATTTACATTTATAATATTCCATTTAATTTCCATGGAGAAATAGACAGGATCCCTTTTGTGATTGTTGTTAAAGTAAATTTACCTAGGCCAGGTAATAAAGAAGCAGGGATGGCCAAGAAAATATCTAATTTCAAAGCTTGAGCATCAAAATTTGCCCCAGATTTTTGAGTATTTGCCACAGATTTTTTTTTTTTTTAAGAAACTGTAAACTGTGAACTTTTATTGAAGCCAGAGCAAAGGGTTCTGCAGAGAAGGCATGAGACCTTGAAGCTGTTCTCCTCTCACAGAAGCTGTGACACACTCTCATTGGATACACAGGATATTTACTGATATTTTCAATCATTTGCATCTCAAACTTCTTAACATAAACTCTCCAATTAATAGTGAATAAATTCTCTGGAGACACTATTCACATTATAGTTGGAAATAATCCTGTCTTTGGGGGACACAATAGACCAAAAAAAATGCAGAGGTTACTTACTTAATTTTGGTTGTAATTGCTGTTTTTAACAAA